TTAATGTATAGTTTACAAAGGTTTAATAAAGCACACCTAACTAACCTGACAGAGGGTTAATTTTTTAAAAAAAAAAATATATAATTTTTAATATTTAATTTTATACAAAATTTTTTTTATTTTTTTATTGAATTACATAAATCATATACTGTATGCCAATAACAGGTTTTCAAAAATAAATAATAAATAAATTTCAATATTTATTTAAATATGTAAATACATTTATTTTGAAAGAATATTTACAAATCAAAAACAACAAAATAAAATGGCAGGAAGAAATTCTTAAAACCATAATTTCGAGCCTTACCATTCACAGGAAATTTGAACAATCAAGATTCGTGTCCTATGAAGTAATAGATGAAATGTATGAACAAAATGCTAACCTGTTGATTCAAGAAAAGGCTGTCAATACGACGGGAAAATGCTAATTAAGATGAAAAAAATAATCTCCATTATGTGAGAATGACTCGCCATTTGAATAAATATGATTGGAATTCTTGAATAAAATTCAAAATATAATAAATTTGAATTAAGACGTAATAATAACTAGCCCAACAAAACAAACAATTAGCGATAGGATTATAGAGAGGAGAGCCACGTACACTTGCATGGTTACTAAAATATTATCCGCCCAATATCTATTAAATTCAATCAAAGAGAATCGATTTAATTCAATATATATAATTGTGTAAAATAAGAATAAATATTTACCTATTATTGGCAGTAACTAAATGATTTCGTTTCTTGCTCTTCTTCACGCCTGTTGTCTTCATATCTTCCTCATGTTTAATTTTCTTAATTTTTAGGTTAACCTCTTCGAATCTTTTCATCATATATTCGGCCTTCGAAATGTATCCAAATTTTACTAAATCCTCAATCTCTTCTACTTCAGACTCATCAATCAATAATTGTGGTACTCGAGATTTTTTCTTACAAATATCAAGCCGTCGTTCAATAGAATCATCAGTCTCCGTGTCTTCTTTTTTAAGAAAAGTAGCAAGATGATGTTTATTCTTATTATGGAAACCGAACTTATCGCTCGAATAAACAACTCCTTTTTCCTTTGAATTTCCAAAAAATTTCTTTGTTTTTTCTTTTTCTTTCACCGACACATCTTTTCTTTTTAATGTTTCTTCTTTCTCTTTAACCAATTTTGATTTCTCTTTTAATATCTCATCTTTCTCTTTATTCGTTGAATGAAGCTTCTTATCTAATTTTCGTTGAATGCTATGTGTTGATTTCTTTTTTGCTTTTTCATCATAAAAGGGTTCTTTTACTCTAGTCTCACTTTCCTTTTCACGCACATTTCCTTCTGAATTCCTTTCTCCTGTATCCTTCCTCAGCCCAGAATGCTCCGATGATAACTCACTATCGGACGGCTCGTAAATATGCTGATAAAAATATCTATTCATAAACTGTTTATTCCCCCTGTTCAACAATTCAACAAATTTCTTAAACCTTCTAATTTCCTCGTCCCATTCCTCATTTTCCTGCCTCAAAGTTTTAAATATTTTCTTGTCAACAATTACATTGGATTGATAGATGAAATGAGTAAAGAGGCTGTTGGAGGTGGATCTCATGTTATCGAGAAAGTTTGTGCTAAAATCTTTATCAAGAGAAGCAGCAGTGGTAAACTTTTGATTAAAATGTTTAATATGAGCGAACAAATCCACCAGGGATTTTCGTTGAAGGTCATTTAACTTGGAGAATGTTGTCATAATTAAATGTCAAAAATTGTTATTTACACTTGTAATTTATCGATAAAGAGAATAAAATCTGAGAAATCAAATTTTTTAAAAAAAAATTGAGTAACGTCCAAAACGAAACATCATGTTATAATAATAATGACATAAATTATCACACCTAAACAATATACAGACAATGGCGTTGGCTCAATATGTATTACGTACTTCAACCAAGAAAAAAACCCGTTTTTACCATTTTACATAATCTTTGCATTTTTATATCTCGATAATGCGTTAAAAAAAAAAATCCGTGCCGCAGTATAACAGAATATTACGTAATTTATGTCGTTAGGATCGCGATGAAGTGGCGTTTGTTGTTACACTATTATACCCCTTTCTTCATCGCCATGTATAGCGTAAAAAATTCTTTTGGTCAAATTTGTTCTTGTACTGCATAATACGTATTTGAAAATCATTTCTAAAACCAAAGATATCAAAGTTACTGAGCCTTGATCAATTATCGACAACCGAGTCTTTATCATAATTACAACTTCTAATTAATATTTTTAATTTTAAATTAATCATTTTTATTTTTATCATGTATATACAATATATATACTGTATATATTTATTTAATCCAGTCATGTCATTATTATTATTTTTTTTTTGAGTAGGCTAGATTGTCATTTTATTAATCAATTGAAAACATAAGTATATTTTCATTTGAGCAGCATTATATATATTACAGCTAAACTATTATTCTAATTTAATCAACTTAGCATAAGAATAAAAGTCTTCAAGTTTGGTCTTGGTAACAATATTCTGCTTTACAGTGTTTTTGAGTAAAAACTTTTCTAGTTCACTGCATTATTGCTAGCAAGTTGTTCTATCATAGGTTATACCAAGCCACTGGAATACAGGAAATTACAAAAGTTGGATTGAAAATAAAAAAGGGAATATTTAAAAATATCTAAACAGATAACAAGAAAACAAAAGAATAAAAATTGAAAAAAAAAAGATTTTTGGTTTTTTTCAAAGACCTGCTTTTTAAGATCTTTTCTTAATAAGAAATATCTAATTAGGATATCCTTTCTTCTAACCATCTAAGAAACTTATTTATTCTTGAACTTGATTACCTTCTTGTATACAATCTGAAGAGACTTATTATCTAGTAGGGGCCTTTATTTTCAGTAACATACTTGGTTCTAACTTTCTTTGATAGTGATTTTTTATTTATCTGCAATAAACAGGTGACTTATTATGGATCTCAGATTCTTATATAACTTAGTAAAAACTGAGTTATGTTGATTCAATATAATATCTTTTAGCAGTCATGTCTAGTTAAAGAAATTTTATTGATAAATATCTTTCATTATCTAAAAAATCAGATTTTTTAACAATCCTTTTGTCTTGTAATAATAAGAAAGTTTTGAACAATGATGAAATTTTTGTCAATTATAATATTTTTTAACAACTTTTAAAAAAATACATTTTCAACTATAACCAAAGGATTGGAGCTTAGTATGAATCCAAGACAGTTTAGTTTTATTGCCTGATCAGGATAAAAAAAAAAACTTTGATCTTGAACTTTGTTTAACTAAAATAATAAGAGAGAAAGACTTTAGCTTAAACAAATAGTAGCTTTTTATTACTTGGAAACTTGTTGCTTGTATCTTATTGGTTTTATGGAACTTGGTCTATAGATAAATTCAATTAAAGAAATGAAATGGAAATAGGATACTAATTAACTATTCCTATTACCAATAACATTATTAGAATATATAGGATGATTAGTAGGAACTTTTTTATATTTAGATATTAATATATTTCATATCTGCCAATCATATTTGAAATAGATTATATCATCTAAAATTCAGGGTCAAACTGAAATATATAAAATTTATCAGAAAATCAAAAAATTTTGAATGACTATAAAAGGGAAGATACAGTAGACAAATACTTTAAAAATATGGTTTAATGTTTATTACCTTCTATTATTAGAAATCTGTATAGATATACTTCAGTATAAAAAGCTTAAAATACTATACTATTGATTCTTCTTTCTTGTAGAACTTTTTTGCTATAGGTAGGGAAAGTGTTTTTTGACTTTTTTAGATCATAGGAAGTTAAGTTTTTGTTTGAAAATGAATATATACAAGAGAAGAATTTGAAAGTATCTCTTGAAATAAAACTTCAAGTTGATTTAGGAATAATATTAAGACTTTATTAACAAAGAAATAAAAAATTCTTGCAAACATCTTTTTTGTGTATGGATAAAGAATCAGTGAAAAGAGTTTTTTTAAAATTTTATCTGCTATTTCACAATTATATCATTATATCTTAATTGAGACACTAAATAATTATTTATAATAGTATATTAATTTTTATATAAAAATAATTTATTATTATATATTATTAGTTAAAGGATTATAATATTTAAAAAATATAAAAAATTCACTAAACTAATTGAATTAAACAAATCTAAATTTAAATTAAATACTTTAAATTAAATTTAAAAAACATATTTTACTCTTCTAATAAATTGATACTTAATCTTTATTTTTTTTATTTTTACAAATTATAATATAATAATTAATATAGTATATAGAAATTTATATAGTATATATAATCTCTATCTTTATCAAAAAATAAATTAAAACCATCATTTGATCTATATAGAGTAAAATAAAATATATAGCATTAAAAAAATATTTTTTTAACTTATTAAAATTAAGATATATATTATTTATAGTTTTAATATAATATGTTAAAAAATTATTTAAAATCAAAAAACTCTTTCCACTAATTCACTTTTTTTTTAAAAATTTCTTTTTTTGGTAATTATTTAGAGAAAAAGAATAACATAACCCAAGCTCAGCAAACATAGTAAAGAGAAACATAATTACATTACCCCACTTGGAGCAACACATAAAGTTCTAGAAACAAGACACCAGAAGAAAAGTATATCAAAACAACATTAGTACTTTATTCATCAACTTTTGAGGGAAAGGGAAAACAAAAGTAAATCTGAATCACAGTAAGATCAAGGGACCCAACATCAACTCTTCTAGTTTCCAACTAGATCAGTGCAGATTTACACCTTTCTAAACATTAGAAGGAATCTGGCAATATAGTAATCTCAATCGGTAAACCAGTCAAAACTCAAAATTTGCAAGATCCAAGAGGACATCAGGAACCTAAGAGCAACAGCTAGAGATCATTAGTAACAATACATCAGCAATACATAAACAACCAGCACATAATAGGAACACAAACACGTCCCTTTAGACAATAGTAACATAACAATAGATTATATGACATGTCTCTAAACAGATAAACAAGCTCAACATATGTTCTAGCTAATCACAAAACACGTTCTTTATATCCAGTTTACTTTTTAATAGGACTAGCATATGTGTTACTAAAATCAACAAATAAACAGAATAACAATCTACAACTCGTATTTACCCCACAATTGATTTACTAAAACAACAGATAGATTAGACAACTCCAGTAATACTATCTGAATAAGTAAACAAATAAACAGAGTTAATCCGCGAAGCGTGACTCATCCAATAAGCACGTGACACAGCCAACATGAACAGGTACAATGTATTCTTCATATAGTAAATAAAAGAAAGGAGAATATTTTGAATACCTTAGTCAAGCTTTCAAGAAAGCACGACGAAACCTCAGAACTATGGGCATCTCAACAGTTGATAAAGCAAAAAGAAGAATATCCAATAGAACAAATAACTCCTGCACCAGAGACTTTTACTATCCTATATAGTATTATCGCTAATATCCTAGGAATAGACAGAACAACATTCCATAAGAAACAGATCCTTACTCAACATATTCTATATCTCTGGCAACAAGGAAAGGGAAAAGAAGAAGATCTTCTACAGCCCTATATAAAAGACAAATTCATTGAAATTATCAAGAATACAAGTGACCCACAGGAGCCAAAAAGTTAATCAATAGAGATTATAGAACATGTAGATACTGAGTCAATAATAGATAACAAATCACAATAATCAGTAATCATGAACAAGAAGAGGCCGAAATACAAAAGCTTCAAGAAAAAATAAAAGGCAACAACATCAGTGATTATAATTAATATGACACAAGAAACAGAGACTTCGTCCCATCAACAAACCCATATTTTATAGGAAAAGAAGGAATATATAAACTCGGTGCTATGACAGCCAATATTCCAAGGGAAATAGAAGAAGAAGCCAAGACCTACCTAAGCAATATCTTGAAACTACCACAGAGAGAAAGACACCTCTTGAAAAAAGAATTTATCAATGAAAACGAATGGTTGACCTTTTGGGTACAAGAAGAAGAGGATGTCCTAAAATATATAGAAGAGATAAACTGCAAAGAGGATAATTTTACTATTCAACAAATAACTCATCACACTTTATGTTCTATCTACATGACCAAAAGAGAAAAGAACAAAAAAGTCTTCCAGAAATTCAAAGTGGAAAATAGATCAGTTATATGGTATGTCAGCCTAATAGATCTAGATCATAAGGTTTCCAGAAGTTATATAGCCAAACATCTCAAGAGATATGGAACAGTTCAAAACATTCATATTTATAAAGCCAAGACGAAGACTAGGGCCAAGACCTATTTCAAGCTTCATAAACATATTAAATAGGATCTCACAGAAGCATGGACAACACCTATAGGTACTGAAACATCCAGAGTCATCTTCACTAAATCAGAGTTGACTGATGAAGAGATAAATGCCACCCTAATCGAGAGAAATATCAACTCAGCTAGACTGTTGGGTACAAACAAAACATATATCAGCTTGATAGCAAGAGCTTTATATGGTACCCAGGCAAAAGCATGCTATACTCCCAAAAACCCTTACACATTAAAGAAACAAAACTTTACAGTTGTCTGCTTTGCGACAAGAGAGGATAGGGACAAGGCATGCAAATGACATATTTTCTTACAAGGTTTAAGACTATCCTAGAGTGTGAAGAATCTCAGCAATAGAGAAAATACTAGTCCTATAA